GAGTGTTTTTCCAAGTGATGTACAGAGTTCTGACGCATGCTAATGAAAAGGTTTGAAGATGTATAGATGCTGGAAATCTGGGTGTTGTTGCAGTACGAGGTAACAGGTGCATATGTGGATCATGAAAGTGACGTTTTTCATGTGATAGTATTCAGATTAGTGTGTGTGTGTAGTTGCAGCAGATGTCTAGAAATTAATTTCAGTATGTATTTGTTTAGGTTGCAGGATTACAGAAACTATTTAAAATAACCTTCACATCCAAAAGAAACTGTTAACATCTGGAATAAGAACTTTTCAGGGTCATTCTTTGTTTTGTTTACATTAGAAAAACCCTCTGTGAACATGGCCTGTACATACCATTTTAAGTACGCCAGCTTTCAGATTTCTTCTGCCTTTATACTTGCAGTGCTAAAACTGACTCCGTGCCCTGTATGATATCGTCAGCAGCGGTCCTGCATCTCATCTCAACAAAAGATGGCTTCCTTGCTAAGCTTCAGGCTTATACGTGGATTGGGGTCAGGGATGGTGATACCCTCCTTTCCCATGCCAATTCTTTGAAGCACAAATTTTCTAACCTGTATGTAGGTTAATACTTAATTAAAACTAGTTTTGATTATGCACATCACAGCAATTTTACAAAATATTTACAGCAACTGAGTGCCTGCGTAGCAAATATTTGTCTTCTATTACATCATCTTTTTAGGCGTTATCTTGAATATTTTGTTGATAATGCACCTGAAATCTTGCTTTCCTCTAAGTTGTGGCCTGGAATGGCTTTATAGCTTTCTGGCCTTTTAAAAAATTGCAAAGTATTAGTTGTCTGATGTAAAATTTGTTATCTTAGAGTTTCATTTACTAGAAGGAGAAGTTTTCCTTTCAGGTTAGACAGTGACACATACTAGGCTTAGTTTTGTCCCTGTGACTTTAGTGTTACTAATGCCATTGTGAATCCACGTACATTAAGTTATATACTGAAAAGTTCCGTGAATGCCACCAGTGGCGGATGCCTAAGGAAAATACTGGAGAAGTTGGTAGCATGGGTATCTGAGCAGAGTGTCAGAAGTTTGGTTTATTGCCTCTGTAAGCATCAGATATCTGATAGGAATGAAGCACTGCCCAAAGGATTTCACAAGTGTTCAAGGAATCCACTTGTATCCAATTCCAGCTCTAGAACAATTGAGAAGCATGCAGGTCTTCACCAAGAAAAGTGTGCTTCTGAGGCATGTGATACAGGCCTTCATTTAAAGGACCACAACAAAGTAAATCTGTTACAGTTTGAAAATACTTAATTGCATAAAGAAATTGTGAAATATTTATTTATTTAAAACCAAATGTATGTGTGGTCTTAGTACTACTTTACACATAAGGAGATTTAATCTTCCATGTACTGGCAAGTCTTTCCCCATGGGGTGGGCCTTTTTCACAGCCATGAAAGCGAAAGGCATGTGTTTAAACCCACATTCTTGCTTAGCTGTCACTGTTGTGCTCCACCACAGGATGGCCCAACTGAAGAAGGCAGACTCATGGTGGCGGGGAGTTACCCTCCACTGACAAAGCCCAGGCTCTTAGGCACATCCCCAACTCATTTCTCTCTTCATCTGAACTTAGACAAGGCAAAAGGCTCAAGTCACCCATTCAGACACAGTGTCAGGGCCTTAAAAAGCACTCACTGCCCAAGATGTCACCAGTGACAATAAGACAATGACAGTTTATGGGCAAGATGAGATAGAAACAGCCACTCTGCTTATAATGATTTAACAGTTTAGATCTTTCTTACAACTCACGTGGAGTTTACATTGGAGTTGACAGGGGATTTTTGAAATGGAGAAAGCATGATGTTACTTAGCATGGATGGCAGCAAGTGTTCCTGTATTAGATTATGATGTTGAATTAAACATTTAACCTTACTAGAGCTTTATTGCAGCAAGGATAAAGATAACATTAAACTTTATACGAAATTGTACAAACAAAACTTGACACTTGCTTACACAAGGAAAATTGGCTGTCTCGAATTCTTACTTGATGCATGTCTTAGCTAGTAGAAATATACCATGTCCGTGTTTTGACTTGTACTGCCAGGCAAACTTTCTTGGATCTACAGGAGGAAAATGCTGAGAAATCCATAAAGATTTATGGTTGGCTTATCTTTCAGTTTGATTATGTCAGTAACTGGTTTTCATTTAAGCATCTGGAAGGGTAATACTGTAAACTGTTTTGGAACCCTAGTCATTGTTCTTTATTGAAGTCTGGTCCTCTGGTTCCTTTTGCAACTTAGAATAACACCTGGATTTGTAACACGTTCCTGGTTGATACCAGCTCTGAAGTAGCATAAATACCCTGTTGAGTTGGCCTCTCCCAGTCCATAGCTGTTTGGGTTTTTTTTTAAATAAAAGTGGATAATTTTTGTAAGTATTTGGACTGTTTCAAAAGCTGGTGGCCTTGTGAGAGAACATTTAAGGCAGATTGATTTTACGTTTCTGCATTGCTGAATATGTTGTAACTTAAGTTTTCAACCAGTTGCTCTAGAAATTGAGGGCTTTAGCCCCTCCCCTTCATGCCGCAAAGATACAGTTTTTCTATGTAATACACCCACAGTTTTTGTTTGTTCATTTGCAGGCTGTGGGTTACAGTTTAATGCCCAGCAACAAAGATGAAGATGGCCTCGTGGTCTTGGTCTTTAACAGAAAAGAAGTAGATATTCGAAGCCAGCAGCAGCAGCTCGTAGAATCACTACACAAAATTCTGGGGGGAAACCAGACCCTCACTGTCAATGTAGAAGGTGTTAAAACGATGCCAGATGACCAGTACGTGACCTTGATGCAGTTTTGCTGTTCTATCTAGTATTACATGTTGTAAAGGGGTGCGCTTAGTCTATTTTGTGTCTCTTTCTCCTTGATTTTAGATCTGTTTATCCCAAGTTCAGTTTTGTGTCTCTCATTCGTTGGTGTTGCTTTTTCTTAAGGTTTTAAGTCTAGTATCTTTTCTGTGTATGTTACTTGCTTTTGCTGGAGTTCACAGCTGAGGACCTCAGCTAAGGTCAGTAAAAAGGCTTTTCCAGACCCTGCTCAGCAGCAAAATTTGGAGATAAGGATGCTAACCATGAGGGTGAGATAAATACTTCATATTTTAGGAGCTATGAGGTATTCTTCACTTGGTCATGCATAAGGTGGAATGGCATTGGGGTGTACTGTAATAATGACTTTGCAGTATTCCACATTGCAGATGTTTATTTTGGTGGGAAAGCTGTTCCAAGGCTCGCAGAGAGGTCTCATTCTGCATGTGTTATATCAGAGAGCTGTTTGCTTGGAGTTGTTTGGGGGCCTGAGGCTACTCTGCCTGAAGTACTTCATTCAGCACACTGACATTTCTACTTCTTACTTTCCCACTGTTCATTCTATTTCAAAGACCAAAGGGTTTAGGTTATTCTTAATGTAAGTAGTAGTATCGCCATATAACGTAGTTGCTAAAACTGGAGGGGGGGAGAATGTAATTCTGTAGAGAATTGACAGGTTTTCTCTTTCGGCCTTGCTGTGTTAAACCCTATGTTTACTGCTATTTTGTATGTCAGTTAGCTCACAGAAGTTAACTGTCGGCTCGGAGAAGTGGTAACTTTTGATTTAGGGTTGCTCTTTGTTGTGTTAGTTTCTGTATCTTGCTGATCTCTTTCTGACAATACACGTTATCTGGCTCAGGACAGAAGTGATCATTTACATTGTTGAACGCTCACCCAATGGCACCTCGAGGAGAGTGCCCGCAACGACCCTCTACACCCACTTTGAACAACCCAACATCAAGTCATCCCTGCAGCAGCTGGGTGTCAGCTTCTCCATGGCCAGAACAGAGCTTTCCCCAGCACAAGTCAAACAGCTCCTGCAGAACCCTCCTGCCGGTATGTGGTCTGGGGCTGCACAGGGACACAGCTGGACCTCTGCTGCAGCTTTTTTGGGCCTCTGGGAAAAATTATAGTGTTGGGCAATTGGAAAACACTTTTTAAAATTACAAGAGTTCCCAAGGCACAAGACATACTCTTGTAATGGGTTTAATGACAGCTGGTTTTCCCATCCAGTGTAGTCTGCCAATAGAGTTATGATTTATCAGTAATATGCCACGCACCAGTATACTATATGATATAGCCATCATAAACCACTTCAACTTGTGCAGTTAAAAAAAAAAAGTCCAATATCAGAATAATCACGTCCTGTATTCACTGCCTAGTTTTCAGTGGGGTCGCTTATCCTATATATGTGGCCAGAGATAGTACATAGACAGCCTTGTTTTAGAGTAGGCAATGCCGTTCATGCAGTTTCATGGGATAATTGTAGCTAATGCTGTGTCTATACAGTATCCCATGTAGTATTTGCAGTGAACTCCCTGCAGGGGGTCAGGGGAAGCAGCCTGTGGTTTCCAGCAGCCAATATGGAGCATGTTCATTAAGACCATAGTGTATAAAAGCACAGCAAAGGTTATGTCATCGGGATGGCAAAAAGAATTTGGCCTACTCCTACAGGACAGAGACAAGCTGCACTGTTCCCAGCTGCTGCAGTGCTGGGGAGTAACTGCTCTGTGCACAAGCAAGTTAGCTGTCTTTAATGTTGGAGGTGTATGGGGCCTGTGTAATGATGGCTGGGCACATCTTGTTAGTCTGTGACTGAGAGGGAAGCTGAGGTTGTAGGCTTACAGGCAGTAAGGTGGGTAAGGAGAGGTGTTAGTGCTGAGCTCAAGAGAAGCAGGCATACCCCAAGAGTTTTGGTATAAAGGCAAGAGCTCTTACAAGGAATGACCTGGAGTGTGATGCAATGACGAATGTTATTGTAGCTGACTGTTCTGGTCTCCTCTTGAAGCTGGCCTGAAATTGTTAAATTACCACCATTTCTATTTTTCTTTTTGGCCTGTCTTTCTGGTCAGAAAGTCAGTTGCTTCCCTGTCTGTGTTCTCTTCGTTTTTAGCCAGCATGCCTACATATGTGCATTTCATACATGGATCTGATTTGCACTGAGGTTTGGAGAGTAATAACTTGCATCATGATGCTAATGCACATGCACAGTTAAACTGCTTTTTCTTTATGTAATTACCAAATGAAGCAGTTAATGGCAAAACAAGCAACTCTTCTGTCAACAGATAAAATCCTTACACAAATCCTGCTAGGAACCATGGTAATTCTTACTGGGATTATTTTTCCCACTGGTTTGGTACTTTGATCACTTAATTACTGGGTTTTTTTGGTATTTTATTTTATGCAATAGCCAACCTGAAGAGGAAAGATGACCTAAATGTAGCATACAGTGAGATTGATACGAACATTTCCCCTTGACATGTGGATTGTCCCATTTGATTGCCTCTGGGTTGTTCCTTTCCTATGCTTTCAAACCAATAGAAGTGATTGACAGCCTTTTGGACTGAACTTAGTGCCACGGTCTGGGACCAACACTTGCTTAATTAACCTTAATTTGTATAACAGTTGTTCAGGTTAGCATAGTTCAGAGGGTTTGTAACAGCTGTAAGATATGATAGCTGTTCAGATCTACCCATACTAAACACTTGTTTGTTTTTTTAAGGTGTTGATCCTATTATATGGGAACAAGCCAAAGTTGACAATCCTGACCCCGACAAGTAAGTCTAATAGTCTGTCTGAGTATTACAGAAAGATGAGAAGTGTACAGTATTGTGCAGTACCCGTCAGGTAACTTGTAAGAAACTAATTAGAGAATAACTTTGTCAAGTGCTGATCTCTTTTGAAGCAGTGAGGATTACTAGAAGTGCCTGTCTAATCCGTTTACCCACTTAGGTGCTTGAGGGTTGTCAGGATCAAGAGTCTTACTTGGATTACTTCCAGTAGTTGTGTACTGCATTATATGAACTGGTTATTGTGACTTAGTTTTTGCAACCATTATAGTTTTTTCTCTTTATTCCTGCAGCTGAAAGTGATGTACCCTTGTACCATCCAGTGTTTACAGATAACTTAGGCTGATTCCTTTATGAAAAAGGAATGGGTCGTTAGAAATAGTGAGGACTTTACAACCTAGCAAAACAAGATATGTCTTATTTTGTAATAAACCAAGATTATCTGTAACTTCATAGTAGATTATATTCATGATTATTAATTCATATCATGTATTTAATCTGAAAATGTGTTGTAATAAATATTTGTATTCTTACAGACTTATTCCTGTGCCATTGGTGGGTTTCAAGGAACTGTTGAGAAGATTGAAGGTCCAAGATCAGATGACCAAACAGCATCAAACTCGATTAGATGTAAGGTTTCTCATCTTTATCATGACTGCTTGCTGCTATTGAAAGATGGGCTATTAAAGAGCGTCCCCCCATGCTTTCTCTATGTTGAAAACTGGAACCATGTGCATGGGGCTCTGACTCTATTTCTTCATATATATTTCTTCATTATATCTTTTGGCCAAAAACTGAGCAGAGCAGTTTTGGGTTGGGTTTTTTTCAGGTTCAAGCTTCTTGTGTTGTTACAGGCTAATTCAAACCAGCTGAATTAAGTTGCACTGGCATGGACTCTTGATTTGGGTACCCAGTTTTCTGATGCCTTCTGAAAATCCTACTTGCATATGAAAATAAATAAAAACCAGAGCCGTAAAGGTTTAGCAAAGACTTTCTGAAAGCATCTTTGGCAAGGAAGCTAAGTTGCTGGACTGAGTACTGTTTTGAAATTCCCCATTTCAAACCAGGACTAATGTGTTCTGTTATCAGAAACTCTTATGATTTCTAACTGACTCCACCTCCTCTGCAGATAATATCAGAAGATATCAGTGAGCTGCAGAAAAACCAAACGACAACTATGGCAAAAATTGCCCAGTACAAAAGGAAACTCATGGCACTGTCTCACAGAACATTACAGGTAACATGAATAGTCTAAGAAACTCATTCTGACATACAGTGTAGTGCCAGAAGGCAAACTGAGAGGGCAGGATGACCTGTGTGATTTTGTACATGGCCAATGTTGAGAATGAAATTCTGACTTCATCTAAATGGTGTTGATTTAAGTAACAGCAGAGGTCTCAGGGAAGGACTCCAGTGCACAGCAAGCTGTGGGACTGCCCCAAGGTCACAGAGGAACAGACTAAACAGAGTAAATCTGATGAGAGACAAGCTGGTGGAAGGACATAAAGACATGTCTTGGGTTAGTGGGGAAAGAGATGGGTAAAGTCTTCTCTAATGAACCTGAAAGACTTCTTTTGTAGGTGTTAATAAAGCAGGAGATCCAAAGGAAAAGCGGTTATGCCATCCAAGCAGACGAAGAGCAGCTTCGTGTACAGTTAGATACAATTCAGTGTGAACTTAACGCGCCTACGCAGTTCAAGGTGAGTAGTTAATAGCACTTTGCTAACAACTCTGTTTTTTCCGCACAAAAGAATGTAAGTAAGTTTTCCAAACCATGCATACAGAGCTGTTGTGGAAAGCTTTCAGAAGAGAAGTCCATCAGTATTGCTGCATTAGCATCATGCTCTTTGCTGCATCACTGATAGGTATTTAAGTATTTTTGAGTTCTGAGAAGTATTGGAGTTGCTTGATATTTGCATGTCTTTTCCCCTCCCTCCCCACCCCCCCGAAAAATAATTTCAAATGGAATGAGCAGCAGTGCTTCCAGCCCTGGTGCCTCAAGGAGTGGTACATGCTAGAGCTCTGACAGCTGTGAATGAGTTGGGTTTGGTTTAAGCCTGTCTCTCTTCCTAGGGCAGACTGAATGAGCTCATGTCCCAAATCAGGATGCAAAACCACTTTGGAGCTGTGCGGGCTGAAGAGCGCTATTATGTGGATGCAGACCTCTTAAGGGAAATCAAGCAAGTAAGTATTACTGGGGAGAATCCAGGGATGCTCTTTGAACTTCATAACTTAAGCCAGCTACACAGGAACTTGGGAGGTCTATCTAAGAAATTACACCAGGCTTTTCAATCCGCCAAGGCCACAGTACCTTTGAGAAATACTACTTTAAATCTGTCAAGTTGGACTATGCTCATGCTGGTTTTTAAACTATCTGCAGCATCTGAAGCAGCAGCAAGAAGGCCTGAGTCACCTAATTAGCATCATAAAGGATGACTTGGAGGACATCAAGCTTATAGAACAGGAACTGAATGAGAGCATTCCCAGAGGAGTCGTCTTCAGTTGACGCAGTGGATGCTGCTGGGCTTACACAGAACATGTTGCTCGTTCATGGTTTACCTTGCAAGGCTAAAAAAAAAACATTAAACCACATACTTTCTAAAAGCAATGGTATTTTGGCTGTTATCTTTAGAATTAGCAAAGCCTCTCCTAAGCTTTTGAACTTGACCTTTGGAAGGTTTGTATTTTATAAAGCTGTATATGCTTCAGTAAAAGAAGGACAACTGAATCTGTTCAGGTACAGTTTTACTATAAAACTCTGTGTACTGTTGTACGTTTTCTCTTTTTTTTTTCCTCCCGTTTTTTACAACAGCGTTGTACTACAACTGCAGTACTGATGGAATTGTTCCAGTTGTGACTTGGTCTGTGGAAATCTTAGCCCACTTCCATGTTTTTATCAAAACAATAAAGTAACATCCTTAGCTGTTTACAGCTAATTTAAATCATTATAGATCCGTATGTTGCTCTATGTATGTTGGTCTCTGCAATAACAGTAGCTTACTGGGGCAAGCTGCTGGAAGTTAGTGTTTCCCATTTCTGTCCTTCCTTTGGACTGCAAGGAGCTGAAGGTTATGTTTTTGTCACTTGACCTGTGTGAATTATACAAAGCTTTGCTGCCCCTTAAATAACAACAACGTGTCTGGATGTTGTCTTCTGCCTTTTTTTAATTGCTGGAGAGTAATAAATTCAGTCTGACTTTGTAATAACTTGTGCATGGTGTTGGATCTTGCTCAGCTCCATCAGCAAAGCAGTGAACCTACTGACAATTCCAGGTTAATGCATGTCACTCTCCTCCAGGCACTGCAGGTAACTGGTATCAAACCCAAGGCCACAGAGCTGCTTGGCAGCCTCTACTATCCCCAACTACGATACAAGGTCACAGTCCTTAGATCTTACCTGGGACCAAGTACTCCAGAGTAGGGGGCTACTACAAGCACAGGAGAGACAGCTTCCCCACCCAAGTTGCCTTTTTTCCCTTATTACAAGAGTTACTGAGAATAATAGAAACAAAAATACATTATTCTCTGCAGTAGGAGTCTGTTATGATAGAGATGGAATAATTCTGTTCATTAACCACAAATAAAAAAAAAAAGAAAAATTCATTAGATAAAGAAACAAAACAGCCCAGAAACAGTAATGTAGAAAAAAAATGTTTATTAAATGGGAAGTTGTGCTCTAGCAGTTGCTACCAGCTTGAAATACACCTTTACTTCCATTTTACTACGCTGGAAGTACACCTGTAACATTTCATCACATGTATTGACAAGGTAAGCTAAGTTGCATCTTCCCTTTGAGCAGGAAGTTCTATTTAAAACACCTCCTTAAAAATGGCCAGAATTGAAGTGCAGCTTACCTATTTTACCCATTCCCTTCCCCAAATGGATCACCACTGTTGGATACAACAGTTGCTGTTTTCAACCAAGAAGTGCTCCAGGTACCTGCCTTCCCTCTCCTGCTTGACAGTTGCAGGCACACTCTGCAGATAGGTGAGGGCAGTCCCTCTGGCTTCACAAGCAGTCAAGGCATTGGAGGTGGCAACCCACACCTGGTTCTTGCTACTGTGACTGTCTGACAAGGCGGAAGGCTTCTAGGAACTCATTGAAGTCAATGTTTCCATCCTTATTGAAATCAATGCTGCGAACTAAGTCGTTAATGCCATCATCCGTGAGTTCAGTGTTCATGTGGGAGCTGAACAGCTTCCAGGTTTGGTGGAATTCCTCAAATGAGATGAGACCTATGGAGAAGAAAGGCCACAGCCACCTCAGCGCCAGGTCACCACGGGCACTGCTGCAAGGAGGGACCCCTGCTCAGGCTTGAACTCTCATCCCACCCCTGCTGCCTGAATACCCTAAAGGAAGGAAAGAAATCACTCATCATCTACATTTTACATACTACAACTAAATTTCCTAGCATGGAGAACACTGACTAGAAGGCAAGTTAAAGCCAGTAAAGAAACATAATGCAATTTGAGAGAACAAAAGAAGCCAAAGACTTGTGTTTTCTCTTGCCCAAAGTAATTTGGTGGAGATGACTGCTTGAAAGCAAGTAATGCTCAAGATCCTGCATTAGTATGGTGCATTACTGTCAGTGCTTGCATCACAGTTTTTGTTCTGCTGAACTCCAGAACAAAGAACTATTAATTCTCTATCTGGACTGCACAGAGCTCTTCAAAATGCATCAAGTTTGTGGAATCATGCAGTGACATTTCAGAAGTTCTTGAGGAGGAGAAAGACCCAAGCCTTAAACCACTGAATAAAAATGCCTTTGTACATATTAAAGGGAGCCCAAAAGTAGAACAGAATACAGCGCAGTGACCAACACCCCCTGCAGACCTGCTTACCTGAATGATCTTTGTCAATGATCCTGAATATAGTCTCCAGGTTGGATCTGTTTCGATAAATGACTTCCAGCAAGCTCGTCTGGATGTGCTGAAAGACAACACACTCATGCTCCTGCCCTTCTGACAGCTGTCTGCTTTCTCTGAGCAGTGTCTGCTACCTTCACGTAAATGAAAACATTTAGTCCTCTCAAGAGTTTGCCAGCAGTGCACTTAGCATCGTGTGTGCCTTATGAAGCAGGTTGGTGATGACTGGATCCTCTGTGCCACTCTGCATTATAGCAACTTACTGCTTCCAAACGTGGCTTTTCCAGGCTAACAGCGAAGACAGTGACTTGGACTATGCTTTTTAACCATTGCAGAGTTGGTTTTGCTGGGTGTAATTAGAGAAACTGTGACTCAGAGAATGGAATATAGTTTTCCTACTCAAAAACCTGCATCCAAAACTACCTCTAGGTTTTGATTGCACATGCATCATCTATTTCTACAACTGACTGAATGTTTCTGGACTAATTCAATTCATGCAAGCTTTTCCATCGACTTCAATACGATTTTGAATTACACAAGAACTATCAATTCCCCTTTAGTACCTTTCTTGCTTCCACATGCTGAAGGGATCTGGTGACCTGCTTTGCATCATGTTTTGATGGAAGGGGATGAGTCCTTACCTCTTGGCTCCGCTGCTCCATGGCCAAGTCGTCCAGCCAGGACTTGTATTCCAGCATGCCATCTGTCGTGCTGCGCACCAGCTGTGGCCTCAGCATTCGCCAGGGCAATCCCAAGTGCAAGACTGACTCCACTGCTGTTGCCCAGTTGCTCAGCGTGATCCTTCCTGTAAGGAAAAGACCTCTGAGAATCAGACAGCTGGAAGCACATGAAACCAAAATATAAAGCCTATAGCAGTACACATACCCAGCCTGCCATGCTGCTGACAGCAACAGCGTTATTTCTCCATGGCACACTTCAGCTCTTTGGTACAGGCAAAAGCCCTACATGGCTATACAGACACCAGGTACAAGTGCATTGCTGCTCCCCCCAGCCTCAGCAAGCTTTTCGTCATTGCAAGAAGTCAGGGCCATGGGCCTGCAGTCATCTGAACAACAGGAAGACACTAACTCTGGATATTTCCTTATAAATTTGTGGCCTACAGCCAGGGTCACCCTGCAGATTGTGGCCTACACAGCTACACTAGTATTTCCTCAGCGACCCAGAAACATGGAAAATCCTCTAGTTTAGCAGCTGCTGGAACAGCTGAACTGGACTTTTGTCAACAGTTTTGCTGCCAAAGAAAAAAGCAAGAAAGTAGTTCTACCCGGAAGCAGCCAACCACTGAGTCCCTTTTCTCCCTCGGCCCACAGATGGACAGAACTCAACACCACATCTTGGCAGCTGCAGCAGCAGAGCACTCCTGGCAGATATATAATTATGAACTCTCAACTCCTTCCTTAAGGCTCTTACAGAGACAGCTGCCACAGAGGACATCTCTCACTTCCCTCTTCCCTGTGATTTTAGATTCTGGGGATGAAGGAGCTCTTGGAGACCACCCAGCCCTTCCCAAGTGACATGACAGACATGTTCCAGGTCAAATTTACCCATATTGTCCTTATCGTACGCCTTGAACGCGCTGATGAGGGCTGAGGTGTGAGCAAAGAGCTTTTCCCGCAAGGCTCGAAAGGCTGACTCCTCTACTCTGCTGATTCTGAAGGGTGCAGAAAAGAGAGAAGCGTATTAAGGACTTGCCATGAAGCATGAGAGAAGCTGCACCCTCACAACCCCCTGGCCTACCCCTGCATTGCCCAGCCCCTTGCATAGCTGCTCTGCCCAGCTGCAGCTGCATCTAACTACTTGTGATGAAGCACTACATGACAAGCACAGCCCTGCATCAATTTGTGAAATAAGGCAGAAGGGAACCTCAGCAAGTGTCAAAACTTAAAATTTGACATTGGAAAGAGAAGCTGGAAAATCATCAGTCTGTAAGTTTCTGATCTTGTAAGCTCCCTCCTCAAACCTTGAGCCTGCACAATGCTGGAATCCTCCTCTGTGCTATTAGTTAGTAAATCAAGCTGTGAAAGTTCAGCTCCAAAGTCAAACATTCTCAAAGCTCCCCAGGTTTTCCCTTTTGGAATTTTGACTTGGTGAATACAGAGCAACTGGAAAGCCTTGCCTTTGGGTCATAGTGAGAGTATGGGCTGCCTTGTTGGCTTGGTACTGAACAAAATGGGGGACGAGGTCTGGCCCCAGCTTCACGTAGGCTCCCCTGTTGCTGCCAATCTCATAGTAGTTCGAGGCTGAAAATATGGTCAGCACCTAACCCCCCCAAAAAAAGAGACATTTACAATCAGTACATACATCCTGTATAATATACATGTGTATCTGTGAAAACAACAAAACCAATCCTATCGGTTAACAGACTGGAAGCACCATGTTTTATGTGGAAAAGGAAGAGTAGGGTGGCCTGGAAGCCTTACAGGTGTGAGTTCGAGGGCAGTGCAGTTCCTCACGTGGATCTGACCACACACTGGACTTCTGTGATTTCACTGTGTTCTCCTGACAGACTTCCACTCTCCACTGCAGTTGATGGAGTCAAAAGTGCCCCTGTCACTGAACTGATCCTGAATCTTCCAAGAGCAAAACTGCTGCAGCAGCTTAGTAACACCTTTCATATGTCATCTTCATAAACAGCTGCGTTAAGTACAGGCAATGGCACAAACAGGTTCAAATGTCAGCTACTGTGCACAAGAACGTGCTTTGCCTGCACATCAGATGCCCCTCACAGTGTAGGTGGCTCCAGACTGTCCGGACCTAAGACCTCAGCTGGAAACACACTTCAGTAACTCCCAATAAGGCCATTCAATGATTTTGTATGTACCTAACAGCCCTGTGGAAGAAATGCAGAGCTGACACAAGCCACCACAGAACATGCATCCTGGCAGGATGGAAATCCAAGTATCCTTCATGCCACCCCCCCTTACTGACCTTCCGATTGTGACAGAACTCATAGCCCTCTTGCTTGCACTCATGGGAGCGGATGAGGAACTGCAAGTTGTACTTCTCAAGGATCTTCCTTGTCACATCAGGCCCAAAGTAGCAGCCACCACCTCGCACTGTATTTACTATGCAGCCCTCCTGAGGCATGGGGTCACTCCAGAGAATGTCTAAGATCTGAAGGGAGTTGAAACATTTACTGAATGAAGTGTACCCAACAGACATCACCCATCAAAGTTTACGAAGCAAATACAGCTCTGTCTCCAAATCGCTCCCTGCGATGGGATAGGAAAAGAGAGACAATCCTGCCATACTGCTCTGCAGGACTGTCACAGACCTGGTCTGCCACAGAGGTGACAATATTGTAGGCCTGGGGGAAGAGGGCTGTCCATGAATCAGGCCTGATACAAGCTTTCTCTTTGCTGCCCCTAAGATTTCAAAGGGCCTTGCTTGTCCTCCTCTATACCAAAACACAGGTCTCAGGGCAAGAACACCTGACAGATCCTGGCAGGCCATGAGCAGGCTTAGTATTAAACTCCTTTGCACTCTAGCCAGGACATTCCACAGCCTCCAGAAATATAAGTGCTGACTCAGTAACTGCTATTTGGATTAAAGTTCAATCTCTTTAACCCTGACCTCAATCTATAGCTTTATTCTGATAAGGTGTGCAGTGCTGAGTTGTCATGTAACGTAAAGGAAGGAAGGATGGTTTCAGAGCACACAGAAGGGGCTTATGGAAAGACTGGTCTAACACAAACAGGTAAGCAAATTCCCAGGCTCTGACACTCCCTAACAATCTACTCACAGGGCAGCCCAACTAAAACCTTCAGTCTGCTCTTGGCACACAACATCAGAACTCACTCGTCAGCAAATGACGTGCTCATTCAGTACCCACAGACTGACTTCAGGTACCCCACATACACAGCAAGCAATATAACCCCTGGGCTCTACAGTCAGTCTTGTCTATTATGTTATTTCTCTTCCCTACAGTGATTCAAGAAAACCTGTTGCTCTGCTCTATGTCAGAGCAGCAGTTTTAATTATACAACCATGCAAAGAGATCTGTGCACTGACCTACATGTTTTGCACTGAGATTCCTCATAACAGAGAGCAACCCTGAAGGAGGCACCTACAGCCCACCAAGCTCAGGGCCCTGCTAGACTACTCACCTGCTTCCAGTCCTCTTGGCGAGTCTGGCACAGCCCATCCAAATCCGTCAAGGAGACCACGCTGGCATAGGTGAGCTCCTCCTCCTCTGACTCACTGATGTCCACAAGCTGGCGGCACCGCTCAATTTGCTCCTGCACTGTCTGCCGGACCCACCTGGAGAACTCCAGCCTGTTGGCTGTGCTGGGAGCCTGGGCTGGTTGGGGTGAGGGAGGTAAACTGGGAGCTGCCTCATTCCCTGCTGGGTCAGCCTCTGCTTTGCTCTTCTCATTTGTTTCCTGTGTTTCCACGTTTCTGTTTGACTCCTTTCTTTTCTTCCCTCTCAATACAGAAATAAACTGAAAGAGGTAAAAGAGAAAAGAGACATGATCACACCACTTGGAAACCAACATCTTCAGCTCTAACATCTTCCACTGGCAGACTGTCAAGTGACCCAAGCCTCAATTCCCTTTGCTGCCACCAAATGCTGATTAACTGTGGGTGATTACTAGAGCCATCCTCTTGTATACGCCGTTCTGGGTTTACAGCTGGGGCCCTCCATCCATCCTGACTACAGATCACTCTTCTTCAGTGACCTTAAGCTGCTCAGACATTTCACAAAAGATAGAGCATCTGCAGTGGGAACATGTTGACAGAATGAGGAAAGGACTAATCCTTACACATTCCAGAAGCCAAGAATGCGTCTTCCCTTCACACCTCCTGCACATACGCTATTTAACCAAAGTGATCCCCTCCAAGCCTTAATACAGTTTGTCTAGGAAGATCATCAACAGCCAAGGCGACTTGTAGAAATAAGCTCCTCACCACAGATCAGCAACACTGCCGTCTCTTGCAATGTATAGGAAATGAAACCTACTTTGTTCCTTTGAATTTTCTCAAGCATGTCCAGGTCAGTGGTGTCAGAGATGCCCCCATGTATAATGAGGACTTTCTGATCAATCAGGGTGGCAAGGGGCAACCAGCAAAAGACATTCTGAATCATCTTCAAGATTTTCTTCCCATGCACCTAGGAGGACAGGTCAGAAAGGGAAAGATGCTAAAAAGCATCAAGGCTTTAAAGTCCACATATCACCTGGTAAAGGAGATACAAAAGTATACCTACCTTGTATTTATGCATTACTTCCTTGGTGAAACCATAGCTAAAGGAACAGGAGAAAAGAAATTCAGTGGGATTTCGTAGCAATACCCTCAACATTGCAACCAGCCCCACACAGAACCCATACCGTAAGTTGACCATGTGGTCCTCATGGTTCCCACGGTTGAGGTGAACCTCCTTTGGATAGATCAAGAGGAAGGTAAAGAGGATGATGAGGATCTCAAGTGAGTGTTTGCCTCTGTCTACAAAGTCGCCATTGAACACATAGGACTTAGAAGGGGAAGGAAGGCCATTCTGTAAAAGCAAGGAACAGGCAGATGTCACAAGAGAGGCCTCCCCACAATCTCCATGTACCTCTCCCTGCCAGCACCACATGCTCTCACTCCTGTCCCGGGTTACCTTATACAATAGGTCTTGACTTCTACTTTTGTCCTGTAGGCTCCCAGTGGCAAATGCACCAAGTGAAAGCTGGCAGTCAGGAAGAGTTGCCATGGGTATCAGCACTTACAAAAACGTCCACTGTCACTTCCCAAATATACACATATATCAGATTTCAGCAAAGGAATAAGCTGCTGCTTTGTGAAGCCAAACTGATCAAATTGACCTGGAGAATTGCATGTGAAGGCCCCACTTTTGCAAACCCTTCTCTGCATGACCCATGCGATTCCTCTCCCCATGCCTGGCCAGCCTCCCTCTCCAGATTTGTTGCCTACCTTATAAAATATGAGGAACAAATCATCCAGTTGGCCATGCAAGTCTCCTGGCAGGCACAAAAAGACAAGTCATGGTATGTTTACCTTCAATTTTAAAAGACACCAATGAATAACTTCCTATAAAGTATCTATCTCCTCTAGAAATTAACGACCACTGAAATATTTGGGAAGCTCAAGGTACAAGTTTTCTTACACCGAGGCTTGTGCCCAAAGGAAAATGACATGATGTAAAGGCTGAGAACACCAAAAAACCCACACCAGATTCTGAAGCCTCTAATTCAGAAGTTTTGTTCATTTATCTCTTATGATGATACAACACGACACAAGAAACTGACCATTACGTGGGAGAAAGCTTTGCATACCAAATAATAATCAAACTAGTTACCATCTAGGGGCAGGGTTTGTCAATTATGTATCCCAAAATCTGTCCTGGAAGCCAAACACAGGCTACAAACAGACAAACCATGTTCCCTCAACACCCCGTCTCCTTCCTGTTCCAGACCAAGCAGAAAGTGGGCCAAGACGCAGACATGTTCCCTCCAGCCTCCAGGCTAGTCTTTGCAGCAGCTCACATTAAAGCATTGTAGGGTAAACCTGAATATTTTGGGCAGCACCAGTTGCCTCTCTATGCAAACAAGCATTTGCTAACAGACCTCATTTATGTTCCACATTCAGTACAGAAGAGGGCACAGGTGCATGCTAGCATTTGATATCTTTCCCACCCCTTCCACACAAGTGATCTGCCCCAGAGACTGTGCAGTACCCTCCCTCCCAGACCTACCGCACACAGTGACCTCCTCGCTGTAGCACGTGGAGACATGACTGATGTTTGGCAACTGCTTGAGGTGCTTCCTGGTCTCATGCAGAAGGTTTAAGACATAGCGAGCGTGGAGCTGCTACTAGGAGAAAGCGAAGGGATTAAAGCAGGAAATCAGTGACCTCTGAGCAGCAACACAGCTCTGTCAAAGGCCCCGAGGACCCACCAGCAATAGCCTGGATGGCAGAAGCTCTCACTGGGACAATATTGCTGACCTATGGGCTTGCAAACAAGATGAGGCCAATACTGGGAAACAGCAGGATGGAGGAGACTGACCCAAAGCAGCCTCAGCACTGGCAGGGGTGTCAGGAGAATCCAAAAGCCCTAGGCAACACTGCTTCCCAGAGCATCAGAAATTCCAGCCCAATATCACAGGTAAGAAGCTGCTCCTCTAGATCTTTCTTAGCCTTTTCCACATTAAACCAGGCTGTGAACTCTCACATGTCCTGCAGAAATATTCATAGGGTGTAGGCATTGAATACTAGTCAAGACACTAGAGACCTTTGTTTTACAAGTCATTTTGTTTGGAGAAGGGGCCTTGTGGTCTGTTTTGCAGTTCAGCACCTTGACTGAGGGATGGCAACAGAACACTGCAATTGTACAAGGAATTGTCTTATTAGTGCTGCTGAACTGGTACTGGACTTCCTAAGCAAAACCCTCACATTTTACATTTTAAATGTAAGTCCAAGCTGCATGGCACAAAATGTAACTTTAATCAGCTGTTTCCATCTGGGCCATCCTAAGCTTTTTAACAAATTGAGGAATTGCAACAAAAAATGACAGAATGTGTCAACATGGACTGTTGGGGGGTCGGGTTTTTTCCTTTTAAAATGAAATTCAGGTTAATAGTGGTACACGCCTGTGAAAAGTTTTGAGGTTTGTCCGAACTGCATTTTCAGAAAGGAAAAAAGTGCCTGTGGTAGGGGGAAACACCAAATCGTTACCAGTCCCATTTGCTTCACAGCCTGCCAGCTCATTATACTCCAATCAGCTTAGCTTGTTAGGAAGGCTAAAACCGAACTATCTATCCTACACCCCTGCATAGAGGATGGGAAAGCATAGTCCCTTTTGGGATCCTTACTTGTTTCTGTTTGAAAGCTTCCAGCAAGGCAGTTGCATGGTCAGGAAGGAGTGGGAAAGAGAGATGGGGTCCAGTGTAGGAGTCTGGCACCTCCATGGATTCATAGTCACAGTATTTTTCCAGCTCTGCCTCTTTGAAGCTTTCCCCGCTTATGAACATGCGACTGATAAAATCCCCTGGACAGCAGATGGGTCAGTTGTTTTAAAAATAGAGACAAGAAAAAGTTAGGTTGGCTCAATACACCGTTCTAGTAATGTGTCAAAGAAAAGCTGTTTGGTTAGGTTAGAGCTCATGAGCAATGGTAGGGGTGGGAGATGATAGCTTCCAGTATGACACCAGTACAGAATCTGCAGCAGGGGAAAAGGCTGCAGGGACAAGTTTCCATGTGCTATGTGTCAGGCAGTACTGGCAGCTATGCTAGCGAAACTTTGGTAGAGCCAGATGGACATTGGTTGCCATGGCTAACTGAAATCTTATTTTCCATGACGTGCAAAAGCAAACTGTATAATAATGAACCATCTCCCACATCCCTAATTTGTATAAATACACATACGCTCCTTTTTAGTGCTGTAACATCTCAGAGCCCAACTCTAGGAACAGGACACTATGGTCCCCTTTTATACAGACACTGAAAAAAATCTTCCTCAACAGTTTTGCTGTAAAATATGCGGGGTGGTTGTAAGAAAAAGGGTGGCAGTTTGAAAGGAAGAAGCAAATGCTTCAGCAGGTTATGGTCAGCAAAGTAAATGATTAGTTTTGACTTACTACCATGGGATTTTAGAGCTAAGCTCTTTAGCAAGTTCCCAGCACTAAGGTAATGCTCTCTACAGATTCAGGAAGATACAGTATTGGTTCCCACAGCACTTCTCTCCCCCCCAATTATAAGTGAAAGACTAAATATAAATCGAATAGCCCAGACACTTCTAATACTACTCATAGAAAACATACTGAGCTTCTGTGCCCCCTTCCAGCTCCTAAGGAGCAGGAACTGTCTCACATCCCTTGCACAGCTCTGACAGTCTCCAGACAATTCACTCCCTATCCAAATTCCTGATGCCATCACTCTTTAGGCTCTTTTGGCTCCATTTGCCATCCTGAAGGGGCAGCACTGGACAATGAATCAACACAGGGTGTGACCTTCTGAGCTGCTGGTGCTCATCTACAAGCAGCACATAGAAACTTACTCTCTTTACTGCTGCTTGGTGTGAAGTGATCCATAAGGTAACTGAAGAAGTTGTGAAGCTGCAAAAAGAGAGCAAGCCCATCATCATTTACCCTGGAATGAAGTCCTGCAGAGCAGCAACTTAACAGGATCTTCTTTCTAGAAGTATTATCTAAGCCCTTCTCACATTGTTGGGTGTGTACAACAAAGCATACTATACCAGTTCTAGTTCGAATATCTTGTGATCAAATCACCAAAGTAGCTTTACCTTCACCCATAGAGACAAAAGTACACCTGTAAGCCCTCATTCTTCCTGGCTGACAGCAAGGCAACCACGTAAGAGAATATCAATCAAAGTTAAAGTATAACAAACCAAATAGCACTGTCTATTGTGTCCAACTCAGGAAAAACAATACTAAATGGTCCTTACAGCTTTCTTTCAAGACTCATGACTTAGGGTCTCATCAGACATAAGCAGGCAGGAAGTCAACAGGGTAAGAAGGAGCAGGAAACCCAGTCCTTGGCCCACTGAAGTACTTAGAGATTTACCAGCCAGTAGCCAGAAATGAGCGAGCCTGTGGCACAGAAACCACCCTCCTGTGTATTTTCCTACGTGGCCTTTTCCGTGGCACCTTACCTTGATCTGATCCTGTTCACAAGCGTACTCTATGGATTGAAAGATTCTCCAGGTGCAACGCCGGCGCATTTCCAGGCGAGCAACATAGCGCCGATACCACTGCTGGATCAAGACAGCTGCCTTGAAAGCTGGGGACAAAACCAGAACCAGCCTGCTGCGCTGCGCTGGCTGCAGCTGAGGCACCTTGCTACAGTTCCTTTCCTGACCATGAGAATTGCAGAGGGACCTCTCTTTTTCAGGAAAGGTGTTCTGCCTAAATACTAAGGGTAGCAGAACACCCACATCTTTTCAGATTATTGTGACAGGTTGATCTGGCTCTGCCTGACCAGAGATCTCTGATGAAGCACTTCTAACCATTGCTGCTGGCTCCTCAGCACCAGCATTAACAACAGCTTATTAGCCCCCAAAGATCCAAATGTGCTCTTCAGTATTAATAGACAATTTCTTCCCTTTCTATCTACCTTGATCATTTTCATGTCCATCTTACAGTCTAGGTACTGTGGCTTCAGGAAACTAGAGATTTGACTGAGGCACAAAAGGAGTTGAGGGAAAACAAGACACCAAGTCCCCTTCCAGAGCCTTAAAAATATGGGGATTATCCACCTTCCTTCTAAACCAAATCACTACCTCAGGTTTTGCTGTTCTGGACAAACTTCAGAAGGGATCTATTCTAGCAAAAATGTTAACATACCATTATCTTAGAATAAAAGAAAGACAAAATTAACACCCACAGTGAAAAGAGGGAGACAGATCTTTTGCCACTTACTGACACGGACGGAACAAAATGCAGCAAATGATGACTATTTATTTGCCCTGATCTTTAAACCATAACCATTCCTCTGAATTTTCCCCATTCCAGTGTTTTCCATTAAAGTATTATTTCACATGGGGTGTGTGCATATTCGAAGTACATTGGTGTAGGGGCCCATTTGCTTTTTCAAGTTCTGCCACAATCTAGCATCTCTAGAAACTCTTCCATCCTCCTTAGCTGCTCTTGACCCCATATGGACCACCTGGTTGCTTACAGCACCCTGCCAAACAGCTTTGTAACTTGGCTTCTCTCTTTTGATAACCTCTGTGTACCTTCCTAGAGCCCTACATCTAAAACATTTTCTAACACTGCTTCTCTGTGGCATCTTTAGCTGAGGCAGGGAGGGATGACTGTTCTATCTACAGGCTAGCCCCAGAATCAAATGGAGATGACAGTCAGCCCTGCTGCAGAAACTTGTGTGCCTTTGGTATCTGGTTTGTGAGAGAGCACTGCCACGTTCACCAAAGCAGGGAGAGCAATGGGGGATGCGGGGTGGAGAAACTTGATTAAAAAGAAAGCAACACCCCACCTGTACCCCAAAGACTGCTACATGCTGGCAAAAGACAAAGAGATCACATTAATTCAATTAGCTTGCATTAATTATGTAACATAAA